AATTAATACAGCACAAATACCACCATCCCGACAATACTTCATATATCCCGTAGCATAAGACACTAAAACAGTCCCAATAAATATGTCTTTCTTTCACCTGACGACGGCAACTTCCCCGGTTGTTTTGACAATGCAAAATTATTACATTTATTTGGTTTACATATCAACGTTGCAAAATATTACGAAAATGAACAGCAGCACGGCGCATATTAATTCAATTCCACAGCGTCCCCCCACCTAATCCCTGGATAAGTCTGCTTGTTCGCATTGCAAAAAAACGATGAAGTGATAGCGTTTCAAAAGAAGAACGACTCCCCTAACTACCAACTTAAAAAAAAAATGATGTCATATCTTCCGCCAGCAGCTTAATCAAGTCTAATAATCAATTCAGTCAAATAAACTTTATTGCTTGTTTGGATTCCCAGTCCAGGAAGTTGGTTATTTCCAATTCTTTTCATTTGCGCCACATCCTAAACACTGCCTTATCAGGCTTAAATAATCAAACTTTATTCAATGTTCCAGAATATTTAAAAATAAAAACAATTAACAAATATTATAACAGTCATTATTCACACCAAAAAAGTTTTGTTTCCTAGCGCCATATGCTTCACCGAGTTATTGTCCAATTTTTTTTTCACTCCACTGTGACCGATTTCGCTAAATTGCGAGGACGATCGACCTAAAATTTTCAAATTTCTCCACCTGGAAATTCATAAAAATGATTCATGCAATCATACTGCACAACGAATTGCATACATTGAGACCATTCAATTCAGCTATATGATAACTCAGAAGTTGCAAAGGAATGACTGTGAGTATGCCCTGTAAGCAATCCACTGTTTTTGGTACACGTATCACATGTGTTCTACCATTTAAATCCTCCTCTGGTACTTCACTATCAGCAACAATTACAGGATTCCCTTCTCGTGCCAATACTTGCTGTAGAGCATTTATCGACTTCTAAATAGCAATATGCAGTAAATCTGAAACGGAACACTAAGATCCAGCGATCAATGAAGCAACGCTGGCAAATAGATTTTAAACTTCCATTTACAACAGTTTTACGTAAAGCTGCTCAGTTACAAGTATTTCTTACGACTATATTTATAAGAGTGAACCTTGTATACTTTGTCACTGCAAATAATCATTACTATAGATCGATTACTGTCCACCATTGCTAACGGTCCATGCTTTAGCTCACCACTCATTATACCCTCACAATGCAAATAAGTTAATTCCTAAAAAAAAATACTAGTCGTGTGGCAAATGATACGCTGTGGAAACTCAGAGTTTAGAGCCAGAAACCAAAATAACGCGTTCACGTTGATTATTTCTAAAAATTACCTTTATTTTTAGCGCTCCTTCAAGACAGGTAGCAAAATTCAAACCCCTTCCCATAACCAAAAGTGATTTTTCTTTATACATCCTCTTCGCAATATTCAACACCTGATCGTCAAGCTTCAGAACCTCTCTAATTTGATCTACAACAGTGAAGAAACAATTCCAAAGTCCAAGTCATTCAGACAGACAGTAATTATAGCAAATTTAGAAATTGAAATAGCAAACAAAATTATAGAATTTGACTGAACAGCAGTTCGTTACCTGGAATTTTTTTCATAGCATCAATGATTTGTCTTCGACGAGGTTGTAATGAAATACGATCATCACTCATAGTTAGCGCAAACATTATCAAAGACAAAATTTGTGATGTGTACGCCTGAAATCAAAAAACGTGCTACGAGATTACCAAAAAAATTCTCATATTATTGATGCAACTGAAGATTGCTTTAAACAACTTTCGTAGAAGCCACTCCAATTTCCGGACCAGCATTTACATGAATTCCACAGTGAGATTCACGAGAGATGCTACTCCCAACAGTGTTTGTGATACCAATTGTTAGTGCCCCTCGTGGTTTGCAATATCTAAAGTTGCTCAGTCACAAAAAGAAAAGGCCATAGTTAAGTGACAATCTAAATGAAGAATTCGCCTCACTTGCGAAAATGGGAAATAATGAGTTTGTTAAAGCTGTGATTAAAACATTGCAAGAAGGAGCTTAACAATTGGAAATGGAAATGAAAATGCAGAACCTTAAAGCCATAAGAGTGTCTGCAGTTTCACCACTTTGTGAAATAAAAAAGCAGACGTCATCACGAAAGACTGGTGTTTCACGATCCAAAAAGTCGCTAGCAAGTTCCAGAACGACAGGAAGTTCGGTAAGTTCCTCCATAGTTTGTCTGCACTAAAAAGTATGAGACTTGGCAAACAACTTACCTAAACTACTGAATGAACTAAATATGTGACGTCATAATTCTTTATGGGCATTTCAAATTAAACAAACAGGGAATTTATATGACGTTAGTTTCTATTGATTTACAGTAGAACTGTAGTTCTTTAATAAAGCAAGACAACTTCAATAGCCAGCTGATTCGTCCAACTAAAGAATACTTATACTTCGAATCTGTTCAAGTACTAACTGAACCGTCGATAAAACTAGCAGACAATTACGTATTACATTCAAACTAGCTAATACTGTACGAAACATTTACAGCAATAGCGGAGTTGTAGGAGGTACCACAAGCTATCAGAATAAGACGCCTACATCGTCGAATATCAGGTAAATAGTCCTGAAAATTCCAATCAATAACAGGCGTGCCTGTGCAGCAGTCAGTTACCTACTTGTGAAACATCCTATCGTTTAAAAAAGCTGTTAAATCATACTTCTACCTTTACACCACCAAGTACTACCCGCCCGTCAGGTAATAATCGGCCACGCATTGTATTCACAGAAGATTCCGGTTGTTCAAAAATTTCTTTCTGCATAAATGTTTTGTAATCTCCCATCATTATTTCTTGTAGCTCCAAAGTAAGGTTTTGCACTTCCCGAGTCTGCAATCCACTATCACAACGTTTTACTCGGTGAATTGTCAAGGCTGAAAACTCACTTTGTTAACAGTGTAAAAACCTCTGACAACAATGACTGGAAAATTTAAGGAAGTTTAAATCAATAAATAAGTTGAAAATGTTGCCTCCTCCTTCTACAACAGCAACATCATCGTCTTCCAGAAAAATAACTTGTTTAGTATGCTCCACAATGGCGCTAAAATAAAGTATTTTAACACCGAATGACTGCACTATTGTTTTAAAATATACCACTGTAAAATAAATATTAACAGCAGTACCTTGCATCTGAGGCAACAAAATATTCAACTTCCCAGTGCTGAGAATCAAAAGGTCGTACTGTTGTGGGACCTTCTACACGAATTTCTAAAATATTTGCAAGAAAGTTATATCTCTCAAAATCTTTGACATTTGCTAATAATTTGAAAATAGAAAAAATAATTTAACATAATCTTTACTGCATTGTTTTTGCTTATCTCTCCTGAACAGTAACGGTAGGATATGCTAATCCTACAACAGCACTCGAAAAAAGTTGATACCTGGCAAACCTGGAGTACTTGATATGATAACTGGAGTACTAGCCAACATGCCAGTAAAACTCAAGTCGTATCCAGCCGGAGATTCTACTCTTGATTCGTCATTCAAATTAGCTGATACAAAGTGACGAGCTAAATTTGGCGAAAAACGGTCAGCAGAAATAAGTTTTTGAAACAAAAAAAAACTGTATTTAGATAGTATAAGTGACTTGAAGCTATAATTATTAGTAAACACTAAGGGTTATTAAATTAATGTCATTATTTGAAAAAAAAAGGTAGGTCGCAACCTTTGCTGAAAAAAACAGGTATATGATCTGTTGTTAACATTGATGAACTCTTGATACCGACAATAAGTGGACTCCCACGACGACATGCAACTAGCTGACCGGGAAAACGGCTACTTTTAATTGCCAATGCAAATGCTCCCTCCTAATATCAGTTAAAATTTTTCAAACTGTTAACTTTTGGAAAATCTCTAGCAAAAAAAGGAAAAAGGACATAACAAATAATGAAAACTTAAACTAACAAGTTGCTGAATAGCGGTTTCAACGAGTTGTCGGAAACTATAATGTGGATATTTGTCAGCGATGTGTTGAATGAGTTTCGCAATAACTTCAGTGTCCGTTTCAGATTCAAAAGCGTGGCCTTTCTTCGTCAGATAAGCCTTCAACTCACGATAATTGGTAATGATGCCATTGTGGACAACCAAAAATTCTGAAACAGGACTGCTGGTAATTTATCCTTCTAATCGTCTGGACTACAGCAAGTTATTGCAGCTGAAGAGGAAAAACCATTTCGACTGTTTGAACGTTGAGGGTGTGCATTAACATCCTTTGGAGATCCGTGGGTTGCCCAACGTGTATGAGCGATACCACAATGGATATTATAAGTCATATTCATATCAAGTTTCATTTCGTTTTCTAAAATTGTCTTACCATTAGTTTATTGCTCAACCTATGAGTCAAAATTGTCAAAAAACAAACATTGAAACATAAATTAGAGCGCTGTTTCATTT